TCCCAGTGCTCACCTTACCAATGTTAGTGGGTGTCGGCTCCTGTATTTGTGAACAATGAGTTTGCCTATTGAGGTCAGTTTTTAGTCGCTAAGGTCGACGTAGACGGTTAAAAGTGGTAAGAGTGGGATAAAGGAGTGATGGGATAGGTAAGATACTGTACCTAGCCAGATTTATAGAACTGTTGAAAGCACATTTCGCAGAGGCCATCGAAAATCACAAACGCTTACGATTTATAGAAGTAACTTCGCAGTCTCCGAGCGATAGTAATGTCACACACCCCAAAATCCGTAAATGTAGAATTTGATTGGGGAATCTTACTCTCGTAACCAGGAAGACGTACTGGTCATGATGGCTAAATAACTCACGGAAGCCAAAACTGCATTCAATTCGTCAATTAGAGACTTCTCAGGGCTGAAAAAACACGACAAAGAGGAAAGACGGAAATGTTTCACCTAGCAGAAAAGCTTTTTTGAGACATCAATGACTTAGATGGTACTAAATGTTATTACTTACTACTGCGTTTTGGCTTCAAGATTCCTTATTTTCCTGAAACAACGAATGAAAAGATTTTTCAAAAACAATAGCAAAAGGTTTGCATTCATCATACCTCTCCTCTGCCTTTCGCTTTCTCTCTGCATCTGCCTGAAAATAAAACATTTCGCCTTGATGTCACAGAAATGGTATCTGGGTTTTTCCCTAGAACAAAATATGACCTTCAAGGATAGCTCAAAGGACCTGGCTCAAAACACAGTCCAGATAAGACTAATAAGAGCCCCAAAACCGGCTTAGACGACGCGTAAATTCTAGGCGGACGAGTTTCTACGGCGTTGTAGAGGCTGAGGAGGTTGCACCATCCGCGTCGAGACGCACATGCTGCACGCAGGCAATCTACTGTAGCCAGCTGTGCGCTTGGCCCAAACACTTGGCAGCTCCTGTCTCCCAAACCAGTCTGGTATCTATCAACGGAAGGAAAGAATGTAAGGGGGCCATGCGTGTGTGATAGTGCGGCGGTTGCCACTACACCACCTTTGCCTGGTGACAACAGTAGTATAGCTGTAAACTTGCACTCAAGTATTTGGCCCAGACCACGCTACTGCTAACCATTGGAAGTGCTAAGTTACCTCTGATCTCAACGCAGATGCCAGTTCTTCTGAGAGTGATTTTTCTGGACTGAAATAAGAATTGATATTGATTCACAAAATAGACTTTACAGTTTAAAGTTGCTCTGCCGCGTGGACTGGAGTTATGGACATAGCCTACAGGGATTGCCCTCAGAACGCCACTCCCACACCTACATAAGCACCATTCCAAGAGGCGCCACAACCAAAAATCCAGCGCCCACGTCTAGTCAAAGCACAATCACCAACGACCACATACCACTGCGTTTTAGCTTCTCTGGAGAGGCGAATTCTCCTGGAATGGGACACTTTCAGCTATTCCTATTTATTTTCCCTTCACCAGACTCAAACACAACCTTACCTGCTTCCGCGGCTATCGGCATCAGTCTTTTTTATTTTGGACTTTATTTGTTCTTCTTTGCTCTTCTCCTTGCTTGGTTCGGTAGATTTTTTCTCTTCGAGACTCTTCTTATTGGCGATCACTTTTTCTGCACTCTTTCTTGGACCATTCTCATCTTTGCCCTTTTTGTCATCTTTGAGACTCATCTTCTAAATGAAAACGGCTATAAGAGATTGTTCAAAATGCTATCAAATCAGATTAGAAATTGCTATCATAAGCCTTCTAGCTGGCTTTCAAATACACTGTCACAACTGACATATCGTTAACAGTAAGAAGATTCTTTGCTAGCTATCTCGTCGCAACGCGACAACTGGCAAAGAATTATTGCGCTGTCAACGGTATTTCTGGATGGATCGTTAACAGTAGTATGAATCTTTGCTAGTTGTCTCGTCGCGATGTCATAAATGGCGAAGAATTAGCGCGATTTCAACAGAAGGCGACATCGTATTGATTCTTTGCTAGTTGTCGCATAGGACGAGACAACTAGCAAAGGATTGTCAAGCAGAAGAGCAAAACTCTTCTAGTTGGTTGCTTCGATTAGCTGTCTAACAGCCTGCCATGCTTTCAAGTGTATTTAGAAGAAACTATTAACCACTTAGGCTTCGGTATAGATTTCAATGCGATGGTTTGATATTGGTGAAATACTACGTACTAATCACTAACCTCCGATTCTTTACTACCTCTCTTGTTCGCCTCTTCCACGCCCTCCTTACTCAAGTTTTGTGGTTGTGTTTTCTTCAAAAGGAAATTTAAAAGTCCACATCAATCAAACATAAAATAGAAACTAGTATGAAACAATTGTTGAATCCCAGCAAAAAAAATTGGATTCCTTTTTAGGACTTTATGTTTTTTTCTCTACGAGAGTCTTCATTTTGTATTCAAAGGACTCCCTTTCCGGAAACGCCTACCGTCGATGCCCACATTGGCTCTGCCTGGGGTTAGAAGAATACTATGTCACAGTGAAGCCGAAACGTAGTTAACGGTCCCTGTCTTCTTACTGGCATTTATTTCTAGGTCTTGGAAAGGCAAAGGGTAATGTTTAAAATGAACAGCCAAGATGTCAGGTAAGTCTACTGAATGAGTAGAGTGCTACTAAGTTATCCTTACTATATATAATCCACAAGTTTGGTGTGTCTGTCTGTCTGTCTGT